CATTAAACCATTCATTGTGGTTCTTAAAACAGCTCCAGCGTTTTTTGAGCAGCTAGAAAATGAACTAGTTCAGGTCAGTTGTTGTTTTTGAAGTGGAAAAGTGGAAAAACATCTTTACAAAGCGAATCCTTCTTTATAAAACCCTGCAGTGAAATGTGGGGCTGGTGCAGGTTCATGATTAGATGACAACAATTAACCTGACAAATTTGTTAAGTTACTGATCTGGTAAGGTCAGTTTTTTTTTAACAGAAAAGCTTTGTTTTTCCACTATCTTGGTTAAATAAGTATCAAAATTTGTATAAAATCCTCTCGTGCCAGTGCAGCGCTGCGTGTTATCCACTCAGAAGCGTGATGTAACCCTGACTGACCCTGTTATTGTTTGCTATCCAGTGTTGATCAGAGGAGGATGGGTTCCCCTTTTGAGTCTTGGGTTCTCTGAAGTTTTCTTCCTCTTGCTCTTAGGGAGTTTTTCCCTGCCACTGTCACCACTGGTGACGCTCATGTGGACAACGCCTGATGTAAAAGCGCTATATAAATACAATAACTTTGACTTGACTTGATTTGATTTGTCCTAGAAAATTGGCCAATATTGACGACTGGCCGTGTTATTGTTATTGGTAAAAGCAGGTTCAATAATAATGATGTTTTTGGATTCTAACTTGACAAAAGGGCTAATCAATCAGGCAGTAAATAACCGTCTAACTAAAAAATTAAGATCCAAATTGTAAACATTAAAATATCTGCTGATCTAATCGTTTTTTGACATGTTTAGCCCCTTTCGAATTAGTCAGGCCCGACATGACACATGACCTGTGTCCTACTGCAGTCGTTACAGAAAACAGAATGAAAATGTTTTCATAGGAATATTAGTAGTTTACTGGTATTTATACTTTTGTGTTATATTATTTTATGATGTGCTTTTTTTACCAATTCAGTGAGTCACATTGTCGTATCAATTCTATCTTATCAGTAATGCCATATAATGGAGTGTCTCTCAAAATACAGCACTTTCTGATTTGAGAATATACTGAATTATTCACTTCAACATGTCTGGTTTCTTCAGATACTGCTGCAAAGAAAGCACGTGATCTGAATGATCTGGTACTTGAATATTCACATTACAATAACATTGCACGTACAGGCAAGTGTTATGGAGGTGACCCAAAGAAAGCCTTAAAAAAATCTGGGCCTCCTTCCAATTAAATTTTCATGCACACAGATTAATCACAGCTATTTAATAACCAATGCAACCAACTCTAGATTCTACGTAACGTACAAAACAGGCTGCTGCGCTGTGGCAGCGTGATCACATGCATGACCGTTCTTATTTCTAACTGCTGCATTAGCGGCTGCAGCTTATTTGACGGAGAAACTCGCTGCTCTTGGTGAATTACACCCGGAACAAGTCAGGACCAGAGAAGACAAGGACAGGATGACCATGAATGTGCTGTGGTAAACCAACAGGCAGAACTAGACAATAACAGAGCTGGCTATGTCTGCTAAAATTAGCAAAATGTTATGATAAAGATGAGGTCAAATATACTGAACAGTGACTGAAATAATGGTTTGATCAAAAATCTAATTTGCAAATGTGCCATGTTTGCTTCTGAGCTACGCGGCTAATGCAACTATCAAGCAGTAGTGAATTGTACAGTCAAAAATGTACATATAATAAAATGTTCTGATGGTTTCTGTATATATCAAGATATAAATCTAAAACCTTTCAGATGCCAAGATTAACCTATTTTTGTAGGTTAACAGTGGATTATATTCTGGTATATTCCTTCACTTTTAATAACCAAAGTCAATCTGAAATTGTTACTGTGCAAAACAAAACTGAACAATACAGATGACCCTGTAAACACTGCTTTCTAACACGAGCCCTGCGGCGCCAACTGCTGTTTCACATATGAACTTCTACAAGGCTGAACTGGCTTCTTATTCGGCAGCTTTCTGTTCAAATTTTCCGTTCCACCTTAAACGGAGTAGCAGTTACATATTTGCGACTGTGCAGACACCTGAGTACGTGTAATTTAAGATGGAATGGAAAATTTAAATAAGAAGCCAATTTCAGCTTTGTGAAATTTCTTGTATCATTCGTCTCATTTATGCGTTCCACACACTTGTGCCCTCATCATCAGACACCGCTGGAATTTGGAAAGTATTACATTCATGCCTCAGTAACAGCTGCTCACAGCTTGTTTTGCGCAGAAGGGTCAAAGACCGCAACGTCGTCTGATGCAGCTCACAGAGTCAGGCAGCTTCTCAGGCGGTACGAGATGAATCACTCAGGTGTCTATGATATGCTAAGGCTAGGGCCAAAAGCCTGGATGCTCCTTTATGTCTGATGTCTTGAATAAAAGTGGACAACTTCAGATGCAAAAGACTAGACAGTGTTTTCATTTCCTTTGCAACATGACTGAAACATTCCTGACTTATCCACTCAGCTAAACAGGCCAACGTTAACACTGTTTGTGCACTGTGTTATCTGTACTTTTTTGTGGCTTTTCCGCAAAACTGAGACAAAACTCATCCCTGAGCAAGAATTTCAACCAGTTTACCAGATAAACCAGTGTTCTAATAATTTGTAACTATGCATGTATCATTAGTGCAGCGACTGTATTGCAGGGGTGTGTATTGCAGGATCAGTTGTACAGCGCTCAGTTCCAGAGCAGAAGACTGTGCTAAATCCACTCCGGCACAAAGTGTCCTGCTGTAGTGCTGCATGAGCGCATCCGGCACTGAGTTAGAATATTGTTTCTCATGTAAGCCCCCCTAGGAGCCCACCACTGTCTTTATTATGGATGATGCATTTCTAGGTTTAATTGCTTAATTACTTTTCTCTATTTGTCACAACTGTAGTGAAATAGCGTCTATGTTTTGACCCACATGATGGACTTTCTTATTCAATTAGAACACCTGCCCGGTCGTACTCAAAAGTTTGGACGCCCCTGGTCAAATTATATGTTTAGTTCATTTCCGATGTGACCACTCAAAGAAAACTTTGCGTGATTAAACGGTTCTCTGTATCGTTAAAGGGTTCTTCAGAATCATAGAGAATGTGTTTTATCTGGTTCTATATAGAACCTTTTTGAAAAGGGTTCTATATAGCACCAGAAAGGGTTCTTCTATTGTTACAAAGAAGAACCCTTTTTACAGTCCGGAGAGGCCATGAGCTGTTGGTATAATTTTCTGGTATAATAACTTTGTTATCTTGAGATCACAAGATACTTATCTTGAGATCATAAGTAACTCGTTATCTCAAGATAACAATTTTGTTATCTTTATCACAAGACGCTTAACTCATTCCCTCAAGATAACAACTGTTATCTTGAGATCACAAGATACTTAACTTGTTACCTAAACATAACAACTTTATCTTGAGTTCAAAAGACACAACTTGTTGTCTCAAGATAACAACTTTATCTTAAGATGACAAGATACTTAACTCGTTATCGCAAGATAAATTTGTTATCTTGAGAGCACAAAATACTTATCTTGAGATCACAAGACACGTAACTCGTTATCTTAAGATAACTGTTATCTTCAGATCACAAGATACCTAACTCATTGTTTCAAGGTAACAACTTTGTTATCTTCAGATCACAAGACACTTTACCCGTTATCTCAAGATAAATTTGTTATCTTGAGATCACAAGATACTTAACTCATTGTCTCAAGATAACAACTTTGTTATCTTAAAATCACAAGACATTTAACTCATCTCAAGTTAACAACTCCGTTATCCTGAGATCACAAGATACTTAACTCGTTATCTCAAGATAACAACTTTGTTATCTTGAGATCACAAGATAGTTAATTTCTTGTTTCAAGACAACAATCCAGAAGATTGTACCTATCTCATGGCCTCTCCAGACTTCCACAAGTTTTGGTGCTATATAGAACCATTTTCTTTACTAAAGAACCTTGAAGAACCATCTTTTTAAGTGTGTACCTTTCTAAACTGTTTGGATTTAGCACTTTATATGCAATATCCAAAGAGTGCAGCCTTCATTTTTACCACTATCAATCTATCTATTACCAAATATATAGAAATTATTACTTGGCCTGTATGAATCGTACAGCATTCTGCCGCTATAAATGCTGTAAATGAACTCCTAATCAGTTACAACTGCAACTCCTTGAAAACAAATGTGTAGAGAACTTCAAACACGGTGTGTTCACAGCATTTAAATGATGCTACTTTGACTGTACATGTTCGATGGCACCACAAGCACACAACACTAGTTACTTTAATGGGGCTACCACCCAATCTGAAATGCAGGGGAACATCATAGTTTTTTATTCATAGAATAACTTGGGTGTTCAAATTCTGTCCTGGAGGGTCTCAAGATTGTAATATGCTTTGCAATATATTCATAACATATTAGAGAACAGCTCCTGTGACGTAACTCCACTATTGAGCTGAAGAGCACATTCATTTTGGAATGTCTGAGGTCAATCAGCGCACAATAAAAAGTTTTTAATGGCCTTATTTGATTATTCTGCAAAGGTCAGTGATGCGATGATGATTTATGAAAATGTGTGTATTTACAATGAGCTGAATCCAGCATAACAGACCATCCAAAACAGTCCAGAACTGACAACCTGAATGTGACAGTCAAACAACTGTACCAATGTGCAAAACATCATGCTGAAAGCTTCACCACGAGAGCTGGTTTTCAAATGAGTGAAATGTTTTGAGTGAACGAGCACAACGGCATCTATTTATGGACGAGGCCACACTGGCTTTTGTGCCGATAGAGTCGCACAGGGGAGGTAAACAGAGGCGAAAGCTTATCTGCCGACCTGAAATCAACTGTGACTTCTTCCTCTGGAGCGCTGAATCACAGCTGAAAATAAAACCTAGGCCTCAAACGTCACTTTAGATCAGCTGCATTAGCCTTTCCGAATGCCCTGCCCAAAGGTTCATGCCATTTTTTCCGTCTCCTTACGCAGAGGACCACGAGAATCAACACAAACAGTGATGTCACTCTGACCTTTTGGTGCTGAACATGTTGGCAGTGGCTCCTCTCTCCTGGATACTTCTGGAAATCGAGGGGGAGGGGCTTATCTTCAGGGATCCGACCTGAAAAGAGCGAGAGAGAGAGAGAGAGAGAGAGAGAGAGAGAGCTTGAAATTTTTGTCTAAACTTGAGAAGACCCAACTGCTCACAGCTGGACGTGACGTCCAGGATAAGTGTTGCGCTCAAGTCGGGTTCAGATTTCACACTGTGAATCTCACAGTCAGCCTCCAACTTTTAACTGATTCCACTCTGCATTAACCCCCTGCTTTAGTTTACTTTGCACTCATGCCCACATGCCAGAAATAAATAAAAAATATATATGTCAAAAATAGAACAGAAATTTATGCCAGAAAAATACAGAAATATATATGTAAGAATTTAAAATGAAAATGTCAGTAATAAAAAAGTAAAATATATGTAAGAAATAAAATTAACGTATATGTCAGAAATAAAATTAAAATATATATGGCAGAAATGAAACAGAAATATAAATGACAAAACAAAATAGAAAAAACAAAATAGAAACATATATTATATGCTAGAAATAAAAGAAAAAATATATACCAGAAATAAAGTAAAAATATATATGCCAGAAATAAAATAAAAATATGTCAGAAATTAAATGAAAATATATATGACGAACATTAAATAGAAATATATATCCTAAAAATAAAAAAATATATATATGTCAGAAATAAAACAGAAATATATATGTCAGAAATAAAATAAGACATATACCAGAAATAAAATAAAAATACATATATAAATATATATATGCCAAAAAATTTAAATATATATGTCAGAAATAAAACAAATATAAAATAATAATAAAAAATGTAATATAAATTTAGAGGATTCAGGACTCTGAGGATCTGACAATTGATTCAGTTTTGAAAGCAGAATTTTTTGTCATTCCTCTATTATACAAGTCTTCAGCTGTGCAACCGTACAGGGTCTTCATTGACATATTTTGCGGTTCATAATGTGCCACATGTTCTAGATTGCGGGCAGGCCAGTCTAGCACCTGCTCTCTCTGGTTATGGAGCCATACTGTTGTAATACATGCAGACTGTGGCATCGTCATACTGAAATAAGCATGAATGTCCCTGAATAAAACACATGTAAGTTACACGTGCTATATGCACATATACTCTCCCATACCATGACAGAGCCTGACTTCTGAACTTTACGCTGGTAACAATCTGGATGGTCCTTTTCTCTCGCCTGGAGAACATAGACGTCCATTATTTCCACACAATCTGAAAGGTTGACTCGTTAGACCACAGTGAGTTTTACTAAATAGCATGGCATGGCGAGTCCACACGACGACCCACACTAAAAACATTAGGGATGGTGTTTGAAAGCATTAAACAAATAAATCTGTTAAAGCAGAATCTAAACTTTTCACTTTTACAGCTAATTATTTTAATATATCATTTATTATTTATCCATAATTGAGTGACGGCAGTTTTTGTTGCTACAAAGTAATTTATTCAGTGCTGTCATTAAAAATATCAGGTTCTGTTCAGCACCTTGGGTGATGGTGGGCCAGTTCGGGACAGTTTTAGACAAGATTTTGTTGCGCTCTGGTCAGTGATGATGCAGGTCAGACAACTCGGTGCTGTGGACTGAATAAGATCAGCCTCCGACAGAAAGTACTTAGGCTGTAGGACCAAAATTTCAGGCCTGATTAAAGCTCTACAGCAGCCTCAAACATGTCCAGTCGTCCACACTCAATCTGAAGGAGCTGTTTATGGCTGATTGTTGTGTGCAAATGAGCTGGATGTTGACACAGATTATATTGTAGAAGTGATTACAACGTTCCACCCCAGTTCATCATCATCATCACGTAACTGTCAACTCCGTTCACTGGAGGAAAATCAGTGGGCGTCGTCCATATTTAGCCCAAAATGTCTCATGCTTGTCCCCAGATGTTCCCGTTAAGAGTCTGACCAATGAAACTAGGTTTAACACGCTCCTCACTCTAATGCATTCCATTCGTGAAGGCCTCAACCATTAAATGACGGCCTCACCATTAGAGACGGCTCTGTTTCATTAGCACAAGGAAGACACAGCGCTGGAGTTTCAGCACCTTGGACAGGGCATTTACTCAAGCTGTTCACACTGTGCACAGACACAATGCAAACACACGTTTATGTGAGGCAAACAGCCATCCTGTCTGTAATGGACAGATAAAGCAAGACTGATGGACCGCTCCTTATTTATAGCCTGTGACATCATCTCTGTTACACTTTGTTCAATATGGATGACTGACCTTTTCACATCAACTGTCCCCTTTATTAGAAACCCCTATGCTGTAGCTCCACTTTGCTGGTGTACAGTTAAAGACTGTAGCCTTCTGTAGCCATGCTGGTCATCTTGTAGCGCTTCGTCAGGGGTTAGTTTTTGACCATAGAGCTGCTGTTGGCTGGACCTAGCAGTGACACCAACATGTGTAAAACTCCAGCTGTGCCTGATACACTCGTACCAGTGCCACAAAGTCACTGCTATGCTGAGAACAATCCACCAACCTAATCTGGTTAACAGTGACCCTGTGGTCAGAAATTGACCAATGATAAATGGGGTAGAGGGCGGCATGTCAACAGATGGGCTACAGTCTGTAATAGTACGCGTATAGTGAACTTTAAGGTCTTTCTAATAAAGTGGCCAGTGAGTGGAGGTACAAGGTAGGTGTTTCTAATAAAGTGGCCAGTGAAGGGAAGTACAAGGTAGGTGTTTCTAATAAAGTGGCCAGTGAATACTGAACAGGCTTGTCTTCCATATGAGTCTAAAGTCTAAAAGGCTGCAGAATAAGATCTGTTGCAGACACACATTCCTATTCAGACAGTGCTTTCTAGGCTGGAGAGTGAAGGTGCTCGCATGTGAAAAGGTTAGAGCAGTCGCAGGGAGGAGGAGTGTACATTATTAATACACACGTCAGCGTGGCTTAAAGCCCTACCTGCAGAGAGAGAGAGAGAGAGAGAGAGAGAGAGAGAGAGAGAGAGAGAGAGATGAAGTGTGTGTGTGAGAGAGAGAGGGAGAGAGAGAGAGAGAGAGAGAGAGAGAGTAAAGCTGCTTCAGCTGCCTTGATTGTTAATTCTGACTCATTCTAACTGAGCACCTATTAACCACACAAAGACAAAAGACAACAGAGAGAGAAAGGAAAAGAAAGAGAGAGAAAGGGAAAGAAAAAGAGAGAAAGGGGGAGCAAAAGAAAGAAAGGGGGAAATAGGGAGACGAAGGGTGAGAAAGGGTAAGACTGCAACAGAGGAAAGTGAAAGACAAATAAATAAAGGAAAACAGGTGGAAATAAAGACAGAGCATAAGAGTATGAAAGCAAAGGAGAAACAGTGAAAAGAAAGAAAGAAAGAAAGAAAGAAAGAAAGAAAGAAAGAAAAAAAGAAAAAGATGAGCATGAAAAGAGGCAAGTTGAGAAAGAAACAAGGGAGGAAAGAGGAATAAAGAATATAAATGAAACAAAAAAGAGCATGAGGAGAAAGAAAGAAAGAAAGAAAGAAAGAAAGAAAGAAAGAAAGAAAGACAGACAGACAGACAGACAGTAAAGGGGGGCAATAGAAACCAGACAGACAGAATGAGGGAGGGAGAGCAAGAGGAGGGTGGGAGAGAGGATAGAGAGAGCAGAGAAGAAAGAGAGGGAGAACAAACAGACAGAAAGAGAGAGAGAATAGAGACAGAGGGAGAGAAAGAACGAGAGAGAGACAAAGGGGAGAGAGGCGATAAAGATGGAGAGAGAGAAAAGGAAAGAGAGAACAAAGACGGGGAAGAGAAAGAGACAATAAAGACGGTGAGAGAGAGAAAGAGAGAGAATAGAGACGGAATAGAGAGACAGAGATAAACAGAGAGATAAAGAAGGAGGAGAGAGTGTGGGAAAGAATGAGAGAATAGAGACACTGAACAAGGGGTGGAGAGAGACAATAAAGATGGACAGACAGAGAAACAGGGGGAAAGAGAGAGAATAGAGACAGAAAGAGAGACAGAAAGAGGGGGAAAGAGAATAAAGACAGAAAGAGAGAGAGAAAGAGGGGGAAAGAGAGAATAAAGACAGAAAGAGAGAGAGAAAGAGGGGAAGAGAGAGAATAGAGATAGACAGAGTAGAGAGAGGAGTGAGGAAGAGAGAGAATAGAGGCAGACAGTGAAAGAGAAGGGAGTGAAGGAGAACAGAAAGAGAGAATAGACAGACAGAGAGAGAGACAGTGAGAGACAGAATGCGAGAGGGGGAAAGAGAGTATGGAAACAGAAGGAGAGAGAGTAGACAGACAGAAAGAGAGAGAGAAAAAACAAACAAACAAATAAAAAATGAAGAGCAGAGGGGCAGAGAATAAAGACAGAAAGCGAGAGAGCGAGCGAGAGAGAATGGAGTGAAGGAGAGAGTGGTGGAGGTGAACAGGCGGTGGTGTTGGTGAAGTGCTGTTGCTCTACAGTCCCTCTCCTGCTCATTAGTGAACTCATTCCACTGAGTCATCATCAGTCAGAGAACAGCAGCAGCCCTGCCTGCACACACACACACACACACACACACTCACACTCACAGACATCCACACACACACACACACACAGACATCCACACACACACACACACACTCACACTCACAGACATCCACACACACTCACACTCACAGACATCCACACACACACACACACACACACACACATCCACACACACACACACATACATACACACACACACACACACACACACACCCTGTCTCTCTCTGATCAGACGAGTGCAGCGTCAGTGTGTGTGTGTGTGTGTGTGTGTGTGTCAGTCAGGCTGTGACTCAGCATCTCATCTCCCGCTCATCTGTACTCTGCTCAGGATCAAACCTTCAATCCTCATCTGTCCTGATTACCACAGTCGAGAAGAACACACAGCCCAGCACAGCACAAACACACACTCCTATTCCTCCATCACTCAGCTCTGTTTATTAGTCCAGTGGTCCACAGAGCATGCATGAGGTCCATTTACCTGTCATACGCTCGTCATGCTTGTGGCATTCGGCCCACAAGAAGTTCATTTTAATTAAATAACATTCTCATAACAT